AAAAATCAAGACTTATTATTTCATGTTCTTTATGTTCACTTACTGTATCTCATTAGTAGGCTAAGTCCCCAGCCAGCATCGTCTCATGTAAGCGTTGCCATTAGGGTTATCGTGCTGAAATGATTTATAGAAGCCAAGAATTTGGTCATTTATACCCAGCAATGAAACAAGAAACTAAAGAAAGCTGTAAATGGTAGGAACTCACCAGGCTCCTTATGGTGCAATTCAGCTCTTTTGAGTTCATTACAGTATTTTTTCTCTCCTCAGTGCTACCTTGTTAGTGAATTAAAAACCAAAACCAAATAAAACCCAAACAAACCCACAGCTGAAGATCTCTATTCTAATGCGTCTGTTCCATGCTAGCTGTCTGAAGATACCTGTAATTGTGACTACCCAGCAGTAGTGCTTAGAATTGTAAATCTTCCAATTAATAAGGTGATACTTGTTTCCTGCACCCACAAGATTTTCATGTGAAGTAGTCCTGGGCTGCAGAAATTGCTTCTACAGTAGGTGAGAATGTTATTGAGCTTTACTGTATTCAGAATAAAATGTAAAACTTATTTCCATGACTCAGCTTTCTGTTAGCAAGTTCTTCTCTTCCATAGCGAGTCCACAAGTTAAAAACAAAATTCTAAATATTCTAAGATGCTAATTTTCACATTAAGGAGGCTCTTTGATACCTCATACTTGGAACATCGCAGGTAGAAGCTTCTGGTCTGAATTTTCTAATGGTGGCATGAAAATGCAGATTTCTGTAGGAGACCAGGTACAGATTCTTCTAAAATAATAAGATTCTAGATAAAGAACAATGAAGCAGCCTTTATTGCTTCAGGCAGTGGAAGAATATTGTACAAATTATTTTATAGGTAAAACTTACTTCAGCATCACCTTTGTGGAACATTGAATTCATCTAGTGTCTGATAGCTGATTTCAAGTGCTCTGAGATATTGGTGGGACCATATCCTCCTTTCATTGAACTCCGCATGACTGCGTTGAGATTAATGAGCTAAGACTGCTTATGTTATCTACGGGTCTTTTTCATGGTTTTTCACTGAAACAACACTAACAAGCTTGAACTCTTGTGAGGAGTTTCTAGGCTCTTTGATTATTTTTTTTTCTTTAAGACTTTTTCTGATACCTGGATTTTTATTTTTGTTTTGTATTGCAGTTCAAGCTATTGTGACTTCTTTCTTTTCTAAAAGATTGTATTCTTTTATCATGAAAGCAAAACTCCATAAGTACTACCCTGTTCTGAAATGCCGCTTCTAACTACTTACCAACTGTTGGCGTGTTCCAAATTATGCCGTTTGTCTGGTTTTACTGTTGGAAGTGGTAGCGGACAAGGATTGTTTTCCCTGGAGCCATGTCTATGTTGTGGTAAAGGTCACTATAGTGGTCTTGATAGGTCCCACAGTGTGTCGTGGGTGATGCACCCCAAAGATCTCTATACCGCTGTCAAGTTTGGTGCACAGTGCTGTAAGATACCAGTGGAATGTCTAGCAAGTACTGTTGCTCAGAGTAAAATGCTGCTGTTCTTCTAGGAAAGCAACTGTACCTTGTCAAGGCTTTTAAACTATTCTGATATTATTCCAAGTGTGTTCTCTTGGTGGTTTTTTTTTCTTTCTAAGTTCTTTTGAACTCTTGCCGTGCAAAACAGTCCTTAAGTAAGGGAAAATTACATAAGCATCAAGCCGATTCAAGAGAGCATTTAAAACTTGTAACTTATACTGTTCCTTTCCCCTTCCTTCCTGTCTTCAGTGGTGGGGATGCCAAGTCTGACTGTGTATTGGAGAATTCCTCACTCTTCAGAGTCAAACCTCGCATCTGTCTTGATGTTTCCATCCGCTTCTCCTTACAGCTGCACTCTAGCCCCAGGAGGTACTTGCAATTAGGAACTAAGTATAAAATGACAGAGGTTTTCGTGAAGAAGATAGAGGTTTCTGGGCTGGCTCCAGGTTTTCTGCTCAGTGGAACGGCGTTAGGAAATGTGTCCTTGCTGCAAATATTTCAAGTGCTCCTGATGGCTTACTTTAGCAGCCCTTGGGTTGCAACCCTTCTGTAATACCTCATTCAAACAACTCGTGTCTTATCAGCCTTTTCTTTTTATGAGCTTAGGTCACTGTAAATTTTTCCTGCTCCAGGCAGGATTCTCAGGTTCAGGTGACTGTCTGGTCAGCAGGCTCATAAGGAAAGAAACTTCTTAATCGTACTGCGGAGAACTTCCTCTCAACAGGACTTGGGTGGTTTCTGTCATAAGAATAGGAGTGGTTTAGGGCTATGTTAGAGGAGCTTAGGGCTAAAAGAAGCAGACAAGCATTGTGCCTGTTGCTTGTGTGGTGGGTGACTTCGTGTTGTTTGAAGAAGTGATTCAACACACCTTTGTCAGCAAGAGTTCTGCCTGCAGGCTTGCATCTCTCTTCTGTGAACCAGGCCTGAGCTCCATGCGGGGTAAGGCAGCCAGGTCTGTGGTTATTCAAGATAAGGAGGCATATGTACAGCTTTTCTACAGAATGCAGTAAGTATTAATTTTAGCTACTAAAATTAGGAGTTTCTTGGCATGCAGGCAACTGAATTGGAAATGCTAAATGAAGAGAATCCTTTGTGTGTGTAATGAAAAATCATCTGTCTGGAAACATCTCTGTGGTTTTATTCATTCAGGATGGAGCTCCTTTGTCACCTGACTTCTTACCATATTAAATGTCTCTTTTCTGCTATCTAAACTGATATTCTTGAAGCTAGTGTGACAAGGATCGCACATCTCAATACTTCAAAATGTTCTTTGAGTTATTCTAAAGGTACTTTCAGATTCAATCTTTATGTGTTCTTTAACTTCTTTTTAGATATATGCCTCTAGAAACTGGGATTAATATATTTTTGTCTAACACTGATGAATGAGCTTATACACCTGGGTGAAAGGCAAGTCTCCTGTCTCAAAGCTTCGTGAAGGTCTTTGTGCAGCTGCAGATAAGGCTCAAGGCTGTCTGTTAAGTCCACCCAGAACGGAAAGGGTTAATATACTGGTAACTGAGTAGAAGGTGAAGAGAATAGAATGTATCTAGAAAGCAGGTTTATTTGGCGAGATGCAGGTTTAAAGGGAATCTCAATTATGAATGAGACAGCTTATGTATGCTTACTCTTGGTGTTTAATTTTGCTGTTTTGATAAATAGGATGCCATGTAGTTTCTTTCCCTTTATCTCATTTTCTTACTCATTTATTTTCACTTTGTGCTCCTCATGGTACTGGGAGGATGAGTCTTTGGGATTTAAAGTTGTGAAAGTTACATAGGTGCTGTTAAGTACATAATATTTTTCGACTTTGAAAACCCAAGTGAAAGGCTGGCTCCTTCACAAGGTAGGATGAGGAGCTCTTGTCAAGTGGTTAAGTGGACCAAGTACATGACATGTTGTTTGGTTTTGTTGTGGCTTTTTTTTTTCACAACTCCTCCTTTTCCCCCCTTTATAAGTATGTAATTAATCTTTTATATACTTCAGTTTCTTTTGGATCAGAAGCTGAGTGTCTTCTATTATCATCTGCTCGCAGATTCGGTGCTGAAGGTTGTCAGCCATTCTGGGAACCAAAATGTCTTAAAAAAAAAAAGCTCAGTAAACCTTAGAAAGTAGAAAACATGGGGTAGAGTTTGAGTGGATGTCATTTATTATCATGATGGCACAAAAACTATTTCTGTCAATCTGTACAGAAAAGTTCATATTTGATATTGGTTATATTTACGGAGCTTCTTGGTATTCACTTTTTAAGCCCTGTTTTATTTTTTAAAAAAAAAACAACAACTGAGCATGGAAAGATTAAGCTCTCAGTCTGGAAACAGCCATGGTAACATTACACACATAGCTTATCCTAGTCCCATTTACAAATGGGAATGGATATGCACTCCATTGTGAAGTCACAATAGCATGTTCCAGATCTTCTTACCCTTAGTATTTTTTAAAATCTGCTTTTTCCCTTTATAACTTACGGTACCTAATTATTTTATGCTTGTCACATTGTTCAGTTGTTTTACTAGAAACTTTTGACAGCAGTGGTGCTGTTGGCTTGAAAAATGACTGCTTTCCTTAGGTACGGGTTAAAGCATAAGTATATCCTTAGGGTGATGTGCCTCTTAAGTTAGTTTTTGATTTATTACTCTGTTTTCTCAAATTTAAGACCTGGATTATTTTATGCTTTTTTAAAACAAAGAAATAAGAAGTGCTTCCAACAATTTCGAAAACAATACATGGTCTGGTAAAATACTATTTGTTTACTTCTAATGTAGGAAAAAGTGTAATTTTGTTTATAAAATACTCTTATAATACATGTAATATAGAGTATATCAGCATGTATGTATATAACAGTTAAAATGTGCGTGTTTTGTTAAGAGCTTCTTGGTTCTTCAGATATCAATAGAAGACAGAATTTGTTTGATCATGTAGACTGACGTTCTCTCAGCTTCAGGGTGGAAAGAAGAGGGTTATAAATTTTCTACAGTGTTTGGGTTGTCAGCAGTTATCTGCTTGGAGTTAACTTTTATCTTTGGGTAAAAAGTTCTCAGAAAAGCAGGAGGTTCTTTGCTGCGGTGTCTTGATTTTCAGTGCCTCCTGTGTTTACCCTCTTTACTTCATATTCTGGGGTAAGGAGCCTGTGAGAGAGAGAGATATTCAAATGCACAGGGCAACTAGTGGGAGCGGGAAGCAATAGCACTACTAATGCAAAATTTTTTGAGAACCATCAAAGTTTTGAGCTGTTCGTTCCCAATCCTCTGATTGACAGTGATTTCTTTGCTCACCATTACTTTAAGTATGATGATACTTCACAAGTGTGATGCCTCAATTAAATCTATGATTTTCTTTTTCTTCTAGAATATACCTTCTGTAGAGCTTTGTGGAAGACAGACGTGTGTGCTGCAATGGTGACATAAATATTTCAGAGGACTGGCACAAGTTGTTGAGAATCTGTGTTTGTTTTTAACGCGGCTGTCGAGAACAATCTAAGGCAAGTAAACAACATGAGTTTTATCATGAAACTTCACAGACATTTTCAAAGAACAGTTATTTTGCTGGCCACTTTTTGTATGGTGAGCATAGTTATTTCTGCGTACTACTTGTATAATGGCTACAAACAGGAGAATGAACTTCCTGAAATCTCTTCAGAAGCAGAATGTGGTGATCTTCAACTGTTGCCATACAAGCTGATGGAGATGAAGACCATGAAGCCTATTGATCCCCTGAGGACAGATCTTGTAGTGCTGGTGTTTGTGGAAAGTCAGTACTCAACATTAGGCCAAGATATAATAACCATTTTAGAATCTAGCAGATTTCAGTTTCACATTGAGATTGCACCTGGAAAAGGCGACCTCCCGGTGCTTATAGACAAAAATAAAGGCAAATATGCTCTCATAGTGTATGAAAATATTCTAAAGTATGTGAATATGGACTCTTGGAACAGAGGCCTTCTAGATAAGTACTGTATAGAATATGGTGTAGGTGTTATTGGATTTCACAAAGGCAATGAGAACAGCTTGCAAAGCTTTCAGTTGAAGGGCTTTCCTTTCCACGTCCACAGCAATCTGGGTATTAAGGACTGTTGCATTAACCCTCATTCCCCACTGCTCCATGTGACTAAGTCTTCTAAGCTTGAGAAAGGTCCCTTGCTTGGAAATGACTGGGCCGTTTTCCAGATTAATCATACAGCTTATCAACCAGTGATATTTGCAAAAGTAAAGACACCAGAAAACCTGTCACCACCTGCTGCTAAAAGTGTTCTCCATGCCACAGTAATTCATGACCTGGGGCTCCACGATGGGATTCAACGAGTCCTTTTCGGCAATAACTTGAATTTTTGGCTGCACAAGCTGATTTTCATAGATGCCATCTCTTTCCTATCTGGAAAGAAGCTCAGACTGTCCTTGGATAGGTACATTCTGGTTGACATAGACGACATCTTCGTTGGGAAGGAGGGAACAAGAATGAACACCAACGATGTACAGGTAAAGTATGTGCACAAACTAATGATCTTTACTGCAAAGTGCCATTTTTTTTTGTCTTAAAGTGAACAGCTATTAATAGTTGGAACTCACGGAGAATGCAGGTCAGGAAGTAGTGATGCAGCCTGTTTGGGCCTTGAGAGAGAAGCCAGATTGTTTGGCATTGAGAAGTCGCTGGTTCCAGGTGTAGCAGTTCGTTCCACCTCAGGCTGGAGGAGAGTCTGTGCAGTGTCTCTTGTACCTGTACGAGAAAAGAATGTAAGATAGGACGACTCACTGGTCACTGTCACTTGTTTTCTCTCAAGTGACAGGCAAGTCCCTGCTTAGCTAAGTTTTGTGAATGGGTTGGTGGGCACCTCTGAATTCCATTCCCCTACTATATATGGAAAACAGTCTTCCAAAAGGAAATTAAAGATAACTAGTTGCTAAGTAACTGATAAAGAAAATGAGGTGAGAGTGGTAGTGTTTTCACACATCACCACACCCCACCCAACACTCGTAATTATAATTGCAGAGTGTTTAACTCTCTAGTCCGATGATGATGATAGCTTCTAAGTACATGCTTCAGTGGCGTTTGGAAACAGCACAGGACTTCTGGGCTGGACCCAAGAGCTATTCATATCTAATCTGTGTATTGCTAGTCTTAAAAGTAGGAGGTAAATGTCGTAAGCAAAAGTAAATGTCAATATAAATTTTAAAGAATAGACTGGATTATTAGCTGTTTGAAACAGGTTTCAGATGTCGGGAGTTGGTTGCAGCATTTCACCTGTCTCATCTCTGGTTTATGGCTCTTGTTTGCAGGCAAGGTTTGTGTTAATACTGGTCTTAAAAGCTTGTTCTGTCTCTGAATGACTTGACAATTCCCATTTTAACATTTCAAGTTGTACATTCCTGAAGGTTGTTTCTCACCCTCTGTTGTGCTGTTCAAGTGAGGTGGTGGTTATGGGTCAGTAGGAGTAACACCTTAACATTATTTCTTGCTGTGTACCTGAATTTCTTTTTGTGAAGAGTGTTGTTACAAAGCAGGTAGTTAGAGATCACCTTGCAAAACTGGTGCTTGGTCTAGAAGCTAAAAACCTGTAAGATGCTGATTGTTGCTCTGTTTGCGCTAAAAATAAGGGAGAATGTTCGGTTAGAACTTTTATAATGGAAAGAGAAACTGGGAAAAGAAAAGGCAGTGACAGCACTGCGTGCAGTTGATTGTTGTTTTTGTTTCATTTTTTAACTAGTTTTTTTAGTTTTCAGTGTTAATGCATTTGTCAAGCTGCAGGAACTCTGCATATATTGCTTCCTTAAACAAAAGGGTTGAACTTGTAGTTAGACTTTAATTTGCTTTAAAATTGCAGCATGCACTCTTTTCCAAAACATTATTTGCACATGCAATTATAAATAAGATATCCGTCCTAGACAAGTAGGTGTTTTCCTTATGCAAAAAAATGGCATGGGAGAGAGCTGAAATAAGGACGAAACTCAATAAATGGGGTTTCTGTGTAGAACATGAGTTTGGGTGAGCAAGCATGCTTTGAGAATATCCTAAATGCAAACTCAAGTTGCAGGACAGAAGGTCTGACCCACATCACTGGCAAAACTCCTGTTGTTCTGCAGAAGCAGCAGTTTCTGGTAACAAAATATATAAAATAAAGACTGAATAAATCTCTTGCTGTGTTGTGCCGTAGCAGTTTGAAACAGTATGTTTTGTATTGTTTCTCTTTGTGAGTGACACTGTAGGATTGTAATTTTTTAGGATAAGTTAGGATGATTAATTGCCAGAATTACTTACCAGAAACAGGAGGCTATTGAGGCAAATTTGATGAAAGCAGAAACAAAAGGATAAGCTGTATTGTTTGGGGAAAATAATTTGCGGTATGTCAGAACGTTATCTTCCCAAAATAAAAGTGTCAAATTAAATAGAATTAATATCAAAGTGGAAATAACTTCTAAGTAGGATAATTTCATTTACACAGAACTGTGTTCTGAAACAGTGGAATCTGGAAAAGTGTTTCCTTCTGTTTCTTCATCTACTTAATGTTAAAATGTTCTATTAAACATGTTGTTAGGGCTGTCAGATGCAATGCATCTTCATTACTATTAATATCAAAGGAGTTATCTTCTGTCACACAATGACATGTGGAAGGAATGAAATAAAAGCAATTTGGGGTAGTTGAAGATACGTTATTGTAAAGTCTATTCGTGGATAAATGACATCCTATTAACCAGGAGTGTTCTACTGAGTTCTGCTGCATTGGCTGTGACAGAATTGCGCGCTGCAAGTGTGAAAGTAGGTTGCTAAATGTAGACTTTGTATAATTTCAGTACTCATTTCTACTAAGCTTACATTTTAAATAGTAGCAATATAGAATGGGTAGAATGTTTTTTTGTGTTTTAATTTTGTTCTACATGTCTAAATATTTTCTGGATATGCTCACATCTGGTAGGACTGTGAGCTTGCTGAGAGTAAGGTGAATGTTTCTACATGTGGTCTGTTAATGCAAAGTAACCTGAAACACTTCAGAAAGCTGCCAAAATGCAGAGAACCTCTAGGATTGGTTCTGCCTATTCCTCTGGGCAGGACAGAGTCAGAATCTGGAGGGTTAATGCAGAACTGACAGCAAAAATAATCACTCATTAATGATTCACTACATAACTCAAGAAGACAGCGTTTGTCTTGGGTCTTCTGAGAAAAAGGCTTCTCTCTGTTGAGTGTACAGCGAACCCAGATTCGCCTTAGAGGGACTGATTCGTTAGACCTCTAAAGTTCAGGTTCAAGTTAAGTGAGCAAGTTAAAGATCTGTTTCTATCCTGTTCTTTCTTTGTAAGAGTTAAAATAGAGGGCCATTGTAACAAAACATATCCTGTAGGATTGATGTAGTAGAAGGTAGTTGTTACATTGCAGTTCACAGAAGTGCAGAATGGCTGAGGTCAGAAGGCACCTGGAGGTCAACTGGTCCAACCCTACCCTACTGAAGCTGGGCCATGTCTAGGCACCTTTTGACTGATCCTGATTGTGTCTAAGATCAGGTCTTTGAGGGAATTTCTTCTTCGGGTACCTAAATGAGATTTGCAAAGTGGCCAGAATAGTTAATATTTGAATGTTACGCTGAGCCGCCCTCTTCTTTAAAGTTTATGAATTGAAATTGAGCACTTAGGAAAACTGCTGTCATAAGGTTAAGTGGTAATTTTTTGTCAGTATTATATATTGACCTCAGAAGAGGTCAAGTCAAAAGCACTCTCTAGAATAATGTCTTCTGCACCTCTGAAAATGAGGTAAAGTGGTGGTACTTCAGCTTGAGTATCTATAGCGTCAGGGACGCGAGTGTAAAGAGCCCTTCTGAAAATTTTTGACGTGGTTTATCAGCCTAAATCCTGTACAACTAATAAATGGTTTGTTTTAGTAAACAACAGATGAAGTTTATTCTAGTTTCACCACAACTACTTCAATTAAAAAAAAAAAAAGACTCAAACAACTTGAGACCGTACTTCAGTTTTTTAGGCTACCTGATTGTTACAGATTTTCCTGTCACTGTATAAACTCTGGACTGATAGAACATAGTTCTTCAATGTGACATACTGAGTAGCTGTCACTTGGCATCAACAATAACTATCCATCTTCATATTTATTTACTTTAGCTTCCTCTGGCATAATAGAAATAATGGAAGAGAACATTTTCATACTCTAATTGCCTCCCACTTTGAAAATAAGCTTGGTAATGTCTTCTCAATGCTCATTTTTCAGTAACTTTTTTTCTCCCTAATGTCTGTCAGGCAGGAGGGACCATTATGCTGTGACAATGTTATATTTTATTTTCCTTGTGTCTTTTAGAAAACTAAGAGCCTGTGCAGTGCAAATAATTCATTTAAATGGACACACAGAGAAAATCTATCTAGATATCCACAGAGTAATTTTATCTTAATCGACCGTGATTGTCCTGGCTGACAGTCTACTAATTTAATATCTTTTTTGTTATAGTTACACTTTGTGAAACTTTTATGACTGTAAAGCATTGAGATTTTTCTTAGGAAAAAAGCAACTGATAATAGGAAGAAAACTAAGTATGATTTTCTTCCTGTTGACAGTTTGTGCGGTGCTGATGGTCTAGGGTGTAAGTTGGTCTACCTTTTCCTTCATTTCCCCAATACATGCACTTTCTGTGTTTCCTTGAGAGTTGGCCACATTTTCAAAATGAAAAATTAGAACACCGTGAAATTATTCTTTCCAAATAATTAACTGTGTGATCTCCTCTTGACTGTATTGTCCTTTGTGTGCTTTTCAGAAGAGACATTTTGAATTGAAGTCAGGGTGGGGATCTCTTCACTTTCTTCCTGTAAGCCTGATCTTTTTCTACATTTGTAATTATTCTTTTATAATTGCCAAGGAAAAAGCTTCATATTACCTGTATCTGTTATTGAGGGGGGGGATGATTTTTTTTTTTCTTACTGTGTTTTGTGAGGGCTTAGGCAATGCATCTGTTAGTGTACGTGCATTGAAATGGGAAACACAAGCTTGAATCTCCAGTCTTTCAGCACTGGAATCATTGATTAGACAGCAAGAGCTGTCCTCTTAGGGATTCGTTTGCGTATCATCTGTGCCAAGCAGCATTTTGGTAACGGGGAGGATTTAACTAAAAAGAATAAGTCTGTAGCATTTTAGTCTCCATCACTTGTGCACTCTGTCATCTTGCCCAGATTTTGAGGTTTATAATGTAGACATCTAGATCAGAGCTAGTCCTCTGACTTTCCGTAGTAGACAACATAGGAAAAAATCGCTCCTCTTTTGGCAGGCGCTGGCTATGTGAATTGCACCTTAGGAGTATGTATTTGTTGGTTGTTCATAAAATGCTTCTAGAGTGACTAAGATCAAATGTGAACATTTGCATTTGATCAGATCAATCTTCTTCCATGTTCCAAAGCCAATGCTCTCAATTTTTTGTTATTTCTTTAGCACATTGATGGCCTGATCTTTTGTTTAATATAATTTTGTTTAATAACAAACTTCTCTCCTAAGA